ATGTCCAAACCTGAACACCTGATCTTCCACACAGCCTAACCCTACATCATTTACAGTCTGCCTCATCTCAGTTGATGGGAACTCCATCTTTTCAGTTGCTCAACCCAAAAACTTTGGACTATTCTTTTGTTGTTCTTTTTCACGTGCCTAATGAACTCTATCAGCAGATGCTGTTGGCTCTAAACCCTCAAAATGTGTCCAAAGGCTGGCTATTTCATGCCACCTCCACTTGCTGATCCAGACCACCATTATCTCCCACCTGGTTACTTTAATAATCTCCTAAGTGTCCAATCTTTTCTTGCCTCTCCCTGCTTCCATCTTAAACACAGCAACTCCCAAAGTGGTCCTGCTAAAATGTAAGTTAGGTCTTGTTACTCCAAAATCCTCTCACACTTCTGCTCCCAGTAGCTTTCCATGCCACTCATAGTAAAATCAAGTCACTGTAGCTCAGGGAAATGAGGTGACTGACTGGTACGCACTCCCAACCAGAGCCTACCTTTGGACCTGGGGACACAGTCATTCCAACCCAAACCAGTGAGCTGCTAAAAAAATAGAAAGAATTAAAATAAATGTTGGGATTAATGATGGCATCCACTGTCTTTAGCCCAATGAAAATTTTATAGTTTAAAAATGTCCCCCAGATATTTCAACCTTATGTCACAGCACTATGCATCTATTTAAAATAAGCACCCATCACTTGTGCTGGTATGGACATAAACGCACACAATCTATATGAATTCTCACAAGGCCTAATAACTAGACCCAAAGGGGAAAATGGCCTTATCAAAATCTTGGCAGATACTGGCAAAGTAGAGGTCCAGTTAATACTATAACTAAACATATAATTCATTGTGCTCATTAGAATAGTACATTTACATGCCTTACTGACCACCAACCACAGATTGTTGATGCTGACCACCTCTGTATTTATTCAAAATAGCCCACTCTCCTTTTCTTCAAAAAAAACTACCCCTGAAAACGCATTCAGTGTTATTGATGCTTCATCATTTATTGCCAACATATTTGTAAAATAGTCTCTTCAGTTGACTCTTGCATATAGTCTTTATTTGGTCAGGATATATGTGTGTGTGTTTGCTGCTTCCCCTAAACATTCTAAGCCTTTTATTTTCTTTTTCTTTCCTTTTTTTTTTTTTTTTTCCTTAAGTAGGCTTCACTCCCAGCGCAGTGTCCCATGTGGAGATTGAACTCATGACCCTGAGATCCAGACCTGAGCTGAGATCAAGAGTTGGGCACTTAACCTACTGAGCCACCCAGGCACCCCTTTTCTAAGACTTCATAAAGGCAAGGCCATATTCTAGTCTAGTCTGTCTGTTGACTCTCCTACCAAGGAGCTTAGCAGAAACCACTGTATGTTAAGGATTTCCCAATGAATCTTCATCAAGCAAAACATATCAGTAATTATATAAAATTTATTCTGGATAATTATATGTGACAGACTATTAAGCTAGAATTTATGAACCTATATTCCTCCAAAGTGAATTCCTACTGCTCCCTTAACATGCCTTGCCACTCTTACCTTCATTGTTTTCACCTTTAATTCAACTCAACGGAACAATCATTTATTTGAAAGCTGCTGTGTGCCAGGATGGGCCAGGTGCTAAGGATACAAATATTGCTAATAAATTATTTTGTCTTCAAGGGGTTTACAGTCTAGTCATGCAACCTCCCTTCTTAGAATGTCCTCCCTACCTCCTGTCTTATCCAAACTCTGCTCATTCTTTGAACCTATAGCGAATTTTATTTCCTCCACTAAGCTTTCCTAAGCTATTTTTTCCTCAGTGTGCCTTCCCACTGAAGAAAACTTAGCATGTGACGTATGTCCATCATATTATCTACTTAACCTTCAGTAATGGCAATAGAACTGTGTATCTCAACTTTTTTCTGAGTGATACAGCATTGTACAAAGGAAGAGCAGAAACTGAGTTCAGATGAAAAATAAGGTAGGAAATGGGCTGTGAAGGATAGGTCTTAGTGGAAAGCATCCACTTTGGGCTGCTAAGGCAAACTTTTCCAGGTTTAGGAGCTGCTAACCTAGAAACACCACAATCCTAGCCAGATGTTCTAGGGGGACAAGATTCATCTGGGAGGAACTGTAATGGGGCAGCCAACATGCTTTAAAAGGAAGGAGTCAAAGGGACACCTGGATGGTTCAGTTGGTTAAGCATCTGACTTCGGCTCAGATCACGATCTCATGGTTCATGAGTTGGAGCCCTGCGTCGGGCTCTGTGCTGGTGGCTCAGAGCCTGGAGCCTGCTTCAGATTTTGTGTCTCCCTCTCTCTCTCTGCCCCTTCCCCACTCGCATTCAGTCTCTCTCTCTCTCTCTCTCTCTCTCTCTCTCTCTCTCTCAAAAATAAATAAACATTTTAAAAAAATAAATAAAATAAAAGGTAGGACTCAAACTGATCTTCTTCATAGCTGTGAGAAGTAAGTGAAATGATTCATTTTCATAAATACCAAATAAAAGTTGTGCTGTCTAGTTAACAATAGGTTTACAACCTATTGGAAATATGTACAAACCCCTCCTCCTCCCCACAATGGAGTCTGAATCCCTTACACACTTCACTTCCTGTTTTTTCTTTCCCCTTCCCATTTCACAGGCTTATTTTCCACCGGCTTTGCAATGAACATGCGCCAAAGAAGTCTGTGCGTCACCTCAAGGAGTATACATTTGTTCCAATCAGACTACTTTTGCCTTATTAGGGCATAGGTGACTTCCGGGTAAGGCTGTAACATCTGTAGTACTCAGCCAATGAGGAACCAGGGGAGGGACTTGCATGCTAGGAGATAAATTGCCTGCTGTAACAGTCCCCAGTGTGCCTGTCCATCAGACAATGCTCTTGCAAGAATGTTGATTAAAGCCTCATTTCACTGTGCTCTGAGTCTCTGTATCCCTCCTTTGATTGGGTCAGTGGGCTTATTTCTCACAATAGCCACAGCAGCCTGATTATAATGCATCCCCCCGGAAAAACAAAAGAACAAAACCCACACCCGTCTCGCTCTTGCTTAATGAGCTCTAAAAACTCTTTAACAAGGTTGAGATGGGGAAAGGAGAGAGAAAGTTTATTTTATAATTAGAGACTTCAACTAAGTGCATGGTTGAGTTAACATTTCATTGTGACTGAGTTTCAATTAAAGTGTAATTAATCAATCAACACATATAAATGATATATTATTAATTTTTCCCAGCTTTAGTGAAAGGTGGGAAGAAAAAAAAAAAGGAAGGCAGAGAGGCAGG